TTATTGGTTTTTGGCTCGCCGGCCGGTCCGGCCGCCTTTGTTCTCCCCCCCCACAATGTGACTCACCCAGCTGGGCATACACCTCGGATCTCTCGAAGTCGTCCATCTTGCTGCAGCCGCGGTTGTCTACCATGGTGATGGTTTCGGTGAGCGGGTAGGCGTTCCTGGACATGGTCAGGCCGTGGTGGGTCTCTCGGGCCTCGGCGGGTTCGGCGAATCTCTCGCCTTCTTCCAGGACGTACTTACAGGAGTTGATGAAGGAGGATTTCCCATGGCCGGTGTAGCCAAACAGCTGAAGGAGGACCTTCTCATACCCCTGATTGCCCAGATACCCCGAGTCCAGGGAGAAGTGGCCGATGTTGTCCCGCAGTTGCCCGATGTCCATTGCGGAGAATTTTGGAGGATTTCTTTCTTTTTCTCAATTTGTTTTTCTAGTTTTGTCTGTTAAAAATGGAGACGGAGAAGTGACTTTGAGATACTTTGCTGCTTTCACTTTCATAAGGGGCGGGGCAGAGGAAGGGATATTCTCAGCAAAGGTTACACTACAGAGCTTCAGAAAGATTTATCTCCCAATATATAAATTGTCTCCACAATGTAGCGGAATATATTTTGTATATCTTTTATTGAAACATTTTGTGTCCGAGGGATACATTCATTTCCTGCTTTGCTGAGCCCATCCCCCCAGCCACGTATAATGATACAATGTAACCCCTGAAAGATCAGAATGTTCTCTGACACTGCGAGGAGGAGACATTTGTTTCCTGTGTGCTGCCGATACATGAATACAAAAATCACAAGGATATAAAAACCACAAAATGCACAAAAATCACAAAAGACACAAAAATCACAAAGACACAAAAATCACAAGACACAAAAAACACAAAAATTACAAAGACACAAAAAACACGAAAATCGCAAGACAAAAAAAAACACAAAAATCACAAAAATCACAAAGACACAAAAAACACAAAGACACGAAAATCACAAGACACAAAAACCACGAAAATCACAAGACACAAAAAACACAAAGACACGAAAATCACAAAGACACAAAAATTACAAGACACAAAAATTACAAAGACACAAAAACCACAAAAAAACACAAAAATCACAAGACACAAAAAACACAAAAATTACAAACACACAAAAAACACAAAAATCACAAGACACAAAAACCACAAAAAACACAAGACACTAAAACCACAAAGACACAAAAATTACAAAGACACAAAAACCACAAAAAACACAAAAGACAAAAATTACAAGACACAAAAAACACAAAAATCACAAGACACAAAAATCACAAAAACACAAATATCACAAAGACACAAAAAACAAAAAAAATCACAAAGACCACGCACACTGCAACTCAGAAAACAATCCGCATCGTTAATCATCATTCACATTATTAAACATTATTATCATTCACCTTTTCCTCATTCCGCTCTATGACGCCGACATACATATAAACAATAAGTAGACATGAGGTGAGTTCTAAGAATAAAGCGCTTTGTGACGTTCACGCTCTCCCGCAAGTTTCATTTGTTTGCTTTTCTTTCTTTTCTTAATGAACTGAACGACATTTACTTTGCTCGTTGCACTGTGCAGCATAAAACAAAATGCCATTTTTCTAAATAAAACCCTCGCTTCTTCCTCTGTGGTCACATATTAGTGATCTCCTGCAGCTTCTTTGCAGCCACTTCCTGTCTACCTGCACTCCACTGACGGCTGCGTGGCATTTTCCTGATGGTGACAACGCAGGAGCACAATTGGGAGATGGCACAGAGCGGTTGTCACCCTGAAACAGGAAGTAGCTGAATAAGGACCTTCCCATCAGGATCACCAGGGATTATTCTAATGAGAGCTAAAAGCATTGAAATCATTTTTGTTAATTATTTTTGAAACGCTGCAACTTTATTTATGTTTTGCACTTTCTGCGGGAAGCAGTCAAACAAAAAGTGTCAGACTTTTATTTTCACCAGTGGGGGGATTGCAGAACATTTCCTCCTTCCTCTTGTGTTCTATCACTCCCACCGGACAACTCCCTGAAGTCTCTCCTTCCCTGCACTGACCACCCCCCTCCCCCTCCAGTGCAATCACTCCATGAACATTAATCTACTAACTGACATAGTCTGGATGTCACAACACTTCTTACAACTCAACCTTTCAAGAACGGAGCTCATGATCTCCCCCGTGCACCTTCCTCTAGCTTTTCCCTTGAGATTAACACAACTATCCCCCCTCCCCCCATGCCAAGGTGCTAGGTGTCATCCTGGACCATCCATTCCCCACCCCTCTCTGCCAATCCCTGCACTGGCTTCCATCCCCCACCCCCCCTCTGCCAATCCCTCCACTGGCTTCCAATAGCCCAAAGGATAACATTCTAAATATTAACAACCACTTACAAAGCCATCCACAACTCCGCCCCCGGCTATATTTCTAAGTATCACCCTAACCGTCTCTTCCGCTCTTCCAATGACCTCCTGCTTTCCAGCTCCCTTGTCAACTCCTCCCATGCTCACCTCCAGGACTTCTCTAGAGTCTCTCCCATCCTCTGGAACTCTTTACCCCAACCTGTCTCTTTCTCCCACTGACTGCCTTTAGGCGATCCCTTAAGACTCATCTCTTCAGGGAAGCTGATCCCACCTCAACCTAACCACTCAACCATCATGTTATCAAATAATTCATCCCCACACAGCTACCTCCTCATGTATCACCGACCCCTCCCCTTTTAGATTGTAAGCCCTCAGGGGCAGGGCCCTCCTTACCATCTTGTCTTGTATTGTGATTGTAATGTCTTCCTCATATTGTAAAGCTCTGCGCACACTGTTGGCGCTCTATAAATCCTCAATAATAATAACAACAACAACAACAACAACTCGCCTGGTGGGAGAGGGAGAGATGCACAGCGCCATCTGCAGGCTGAAGAAGATAGTTTGAGAATAAAGCTCTAGTGTATGGGGTTAGGTAACCTCAGGACTTCCGGAGTTGTGGAACTACAAGTCCCATGAGGCCCTCCAAGGCCCTGACAGCCACATGCATGATTCACATAGAGATAATGGGATACGCTGAGGCTGCCTACCACTGCTCTAGTGTGCTGTGATCACTAAGATCGGATGTCACATGATTGGGAGCCGTGCTTATTGACTCCAGATTCTTAGACTGAGACTTGTGTCTGTCAGTGACAGCAGACTCTGAACCTTCAGCACACACGGGTGCACACTGCTAGCTCCCAGCAGTCATGTAGAATGATGCTCTCTCATTATATAGACCAGTGCCCGGGAATGTTCATTCACATATTGCGCTCATCATGTGGATAACTGAAGGAAAGTCCGGCTGGCAGCCGTGGGAACTACCAACCTGTTGGCCATCATCGGCTTCTATAGAAGTTCTCTAAGAGCCGCCTTTGCATCAGAAGATGCCGACAGATACAAATCATACACATACAGTAAATGTCATTTTTTTATTTATCACAATATATCTTTATATATATATATATATTTTATATTAAATCTCAATATTTTCATCACGATTTAACAATTCATATAAATATATATAATATATGTCTCGGCACGGGAATCTCTCGGCGCGGGAATCGGAACTTGAACAATCGAGAGGAACGTTACAATGTAAACATGACCGGCAATTAAAAATTGTTGGTTTGGAAGAAGGAAAAAAAATACAATTATAAAATGCAATTTTGTCGAAAATCTCACTTTGTAAAAAAAAATGTAATTTAAAAAGTTATAAAAAGCGCCGCCCCCTCCGAGGGAGTCATCACTGTGCGGTGAGGATGGCGTCTCTGCTGCGCAGGAGGCTGGCCTGCTTGTCCATAAGTTTGCTGAACAGTCCGTCTCTGTTCTTCAGCAGCTGCTCGTGTTCGCCGCACTCCACCACCCGGCCGTGGTCAATGACGGCGACCTTGTCTGCGTTCTGGATGGTGGAAAGGCGGTGAGCGATGATGAGGACCGTCCGCCCTTCCATCAGCCGGTCCAGAGCTTCCTGAACCAGGAATTCGTTTTCTGCGTCCAATGCGCTGGAAAAAAATTATTAATAGAAATATCCAAATGAGGGTTTAGTCCACCCAAGAGGAGGGAGCAGGAACGGCCCAAACCCCCGAAACTATGATGAGGAGATCTCACAGAGAAAGCTCCCAAAACTCTACTAGCATGTTCATCTTCCCATGGGTGACCCTCCACAGTTCCCGGGATCTAATGGGAATCCTACTTTCAATATCCCAGGTATTATGGGGGCATGACTCCACTTTCCTTGTGATGTTATCCCCCAGATAAAGGTCCACATATCATCCCCCCAATAAGGTCCACATATCATAATAGGAAGCAGAACACCGTCCTTCCATTAAAGAAGAACTATGAGGGGGGGTGCTCTGCACTCAGCCTCATATTTCTAGCCGACCTGTGACAATGAGACTGTCACAGGTCGGCTCAGTAGATCGGGAGGTGAGCAAACACATACCGGCGCTCGCTCCCCTCTCGATCCTGTCACGGCTCTCTGCCGTGACAGGGGAGGGGCTGGATTCCCCCTCTCCCCGCTCCGACCCGCCAGCGCTGACTGGCGGAACGGGCGGGGGGGGCGTGTACAGCTGGCTCTACCTCTAGATAGGCAGAGCCAGCTGTCACTCACGCAGCTGGATGGATCCAGAAATAATTGTTGGGATCCGCTTCAGCTCTGAGTATACCGCGAGCTGTAGCTCTCTATATACTGAGCCTAGAGTGACGGGAGGACGCTAGTTTGTGTCCTCCCGTTACCCTAAGGAGAACTATGGGGAAAAGCCCCGACCTCATAGTTCTCCTTTAAGCATAGAAACAGCTCTATTTTTCCAGCTCTGTTGAGAACACCCCACCCAGCTAATACTAACACCCCTTACTGGGGCTTAATCTACAAAATGCATCAGGGGAGGAGTTGGTGGGGTGTCCTCAGCAGTGCTGGGACAATAAAGTTGTTTTTATGCGTAATGTATGTGCGGTGTTCAGCTTCCTATTGTCATATGCGGACCTTATTAGTGTGATGACATCGCAAGGGGTGGGGAAATAAACAGCGGAGTGCAGATTAGCATCATGGCATGTGGACTGGTTTTGGAGGAGCAGATCCCGGAGATGTCAGCCCCCCAACGGAGGCGGTGACTGAGTGCTACTGGGGACACGGTGAGCCTAATAAGCTATTTAGATACTTCCTCACTGGTGCTTTGGACCTCTTTACCTTTCTACAAGAAGCGCGGGTCAGCCGGTTCCCCTGTAGTTTTATTTGGAGAGAAGCAGACTGATGCACCGAAAGTCCTGAAATCTTATAACAGGGGTTGCCACCTTTTCTTCATTGTAACCCGAACACTCTAGCGATGTGCAGACATTTTTGGGGGAGAAGTCGCGGCTTATTCATATGTAAATAGCGCCGCCCATTCATATATAAATATCACAGTTGAGACCATTTTCAGTTCAGGGAAAGTAGCCCCTATCTTAATATTGGTTGCCCCCTGTCTGCCTGCCATCTTGTGTCCGGGTTTCTGCTGCCATGGAACCCGGACACAGCATTCAAAACCCGAACTGTCCGGGTGAATCCTGGACAGGTGGCAACCCTCCTTATAACAGGGTGCACCAGAACACACCGCATGCTCAATGTTTCCTGCTATTGTAGCTCTTCTGACTCTGAGTTCCTCCTTTGAGGGACCTGCCCCAAGACGGTAGGTGAGCAATTCCCATTAGGCATGTGCGATTCATTTCGTTACGAATCGAAATTCGTACACATTTTCTGAAATTCGGAAGCATCCGAAATCCGAATGGCAGTTTCCGAATTATATCCGAAATTCCGTTAACGAATTGCGGATCCGAATCCCTTTGAAACAGGAACTAATATTACCCCTGTAAATGAGGTTGAACAACATGACAAGATTTTTTTTTTTAATCCGAAATACGGATCCGCTGCTGCTGAGAGTTGCATTACAATACACAGGCAGGAAATACGAAATTCCGTTGACGTATTTTCGTTCCATTACGAACATCCGTTATATTGAAGGTAAAAAGCAAAGTACATTTATATTGGAGTTGATTCGGGTTTTTTTTTATCCGAAATACGGAATCCGTTAACGGAATTCGTATTTCGGATACATAAACAACTACCACATCGACTCCAATATTAACAAAGGTATTTTTGCTTTTTAACTTCATCATAACGAATGTTCGTACAGTTACGAAAATGTGCCGAAACTAACGAAAATCCGTATTTCGTACCAATCCGAATTGAGTTTCCGACACGAATTATGAAATACGAAATAACGGATATTCCGAAACGAAACAAATTTTTTGATGGTGCACAAGTCTAATTCCCATCTACAGAAGAACTCTGACAACCAGAAGATCTAGAGCAAAGCCCCACCACTGGCCATGACATAAGGACCTCCACTGTTTGGACTCCATTGGCCGGAGACACGCTTGATGCTTCCGCCTTTTACCACTTTGTTCTTATTTTTACTGAACACATCACTTTCCATGCACTAGACCAATGAGCCTTGTTCTTCCTCCATTATTTATATTATGGTGTCTGAGAGCAGAGATGGGATTATTACCTTGTTGCTTCATCCAGGAGGAGAATTCTGGGATCCTGCAGAGAGAGGGAATGTTGAGTCACAGTAAACAGCAAAGTGAGATAACAACATTATCCTGACAACAGATCGGAGCAAAGAACAGCTCCCAGCATTGGTTTTCCTGAGGATAATGAGGTAATAAAATGTTCAAAGGTTGAACGGAGAAGAACTGAAGATAAAACTATCTACAATGATCTACAGCAGTCTTAAAGGGAACCTGTGCTCATTCACGTTAAAACAGGTTCAGTGGATCACCTATTCTCCTTCTAATATTTATCTTCTCTACAATCCTCCCCCACCCATTTTGCCCTCTGTGGTCCTAAGTAGAAGCCTTGTGCAACCTCCAGGTCAAATGACCTTCCCCTTGCCCCCATGTGATAGTGCTCAGGCTAAGAGATGAGCCACTTAGGCATTGTGGGACGAAGGGAGAGGTCACCCTCCTCCATTCTAGGAAGGGTTCTGGCTAACAGGGTCCTGGGTGATGATAGATATAAGTATTAGTAGTAGAGGAGGTGGCACATATACACTTCTCCTGTTATTCTGCACTGAAAGGACAAAGGGACAAGCTTACTTTAAGAATGTCCTCTTATGGTGTACATGGGTGAGCATCTAGGGGGGGCGCAACATGACAGTCAGCCAAATGGTGACAACAACCAAAAGTGCCATACTCTAATCCTTTCCCCTGATCCCCAGCACTGAAAGGAGCAGGATGTAAAGTTGGATAAAAAAACAACTGGAACTGGACCATTGCCATGTATTACTGGGATCTGTAAACTGCTGAAGAAACAGCGCGTCCTAGTGGTCACATGGACTAGAACATGTTTTAGTTTACCTTGAGAAGTGCCCGGGCGATGGCGATTCGTTGTTTCTGGCCACCTACAAGTGAAATAAAATGTAGAGGTTCAGGAGCACAGTTCAGAGAAGCATAGTATTACTTGTATGTGAACATTAGGAGTAGCTTTCAAGACAATGTTTTCACTTTTGAGTTAAAAGGAGAACTATGTTAAGTGTTTTTCCCCATAGTTCTCCTAAGGGTCATGGGAGGACACAAACTAGCGTCCTCCCGTCACCCTAGGCTCAGTATATAGGGAGCTACAGCTCGCGGTATACCGAGACCGCCGCAGCCGGGACGGATCCCGATATTACTGTTGAGATCCGCCCAGCTGCGTGAGTGACAGCTGGCTCTGCCTATCTAGAGTTAGAGCCAGCTGTACCCGCCCCTCCCCCGTCTGTTCCGTCAGTCAGCGCTGGAGGATTGGAGCGGGGAATCCCTGCGGGGAATGGTGACTGACAGTCACGGCTCTCTGCAGGGACATGATGGAGAAGTGAGCGAGCGACGGTATGTGTGTGCTCACTACCCGATCTACTGAGCCGACCTGTGACAGTTCCATTGTCACACTTCGGCTCGAACTATGAGATGAGTGAAAATCACTCCCGTCATAGTTCTCCTTTAAGGAACGCTTCCTCCGTTCTGTTGGTGTGATTTTACTTCTTGAGCCACAACAGGATATGAGAGGAAATCTCTCCATATTGAAGGGAATTTCTCAGACAGTTGTCCCTGGTACAGGTGTCCCCATTTCCAGATCCACGCCCCGATTTTCCATCATAAAACATGACAGAAGTTCTAACCCCTCCCTACTCCATCCAAGATTAAAGAAACATTTTGGCTACAGGTAGGCTTTCTCCGGGCTACAGAGTGCGCTCATCTTACTGCACAACAAAGTAATTCTACTTCAGGAAGAATTATGGGGCTAAATATCTTACAATAGAAGACACAAGTCTACCTGACAGCAGCACGCCTTTCTCCCCGACCATGGTATCAAATCCTTTGGGGAAGTTTTCTACAAAGTTCAGCGCATTGGCGACGTCAGCGACACGCCGGATCTCCTCCTGGGTGACGGAGGACGGGTCTTCTGCCCCGTACGCAATGTTCTCTGAGATGGAGCAAGAAAAGAGGATCGGCTCCTGCAGGAAGAACATTGGAAATCAAAGCTTGGCATTGTTACTCGTGTGTCACCTGACACATCGATCGACAAACAGGACCCTGAAGGGGTTAATTTAGGAATTGCCTTTTTGTTACACAGAAAACACAATGTCACCGTTTTTATTTTTTGCTAGAGATACTTTATTAGGAATAAACATGGATATTCCCTAAATGGACCTACGTAGGACGCCACTGTCAGCAATGATATAAAGTGAGGCAGCTAGACAAGGTGTACTGTGGCTGAGCTTCTGCTGGATTTGTTCTGGAATTTGATTGTGTTGCACAATGTAACAAAAATATGTCACCATTGTACTATGATGGGAAGACAGACATTGGAAAATCTGCTCAGCGGAGTGATTTCCCAGAAACTGCTGTTACCAGCAAAAGCAACAAAAATTGCCTTAAAGGAGAACTATGAGGGGGGAGGGGGAGGGGCTTTTCACTCACCTCATAGTTCTAGCCGACCTGTGACAATGAGACTGTCACAGGTCGGCTCAGTAGGTCGGGAGGTGAGCGAACACATACCGGGTTCGCTCGCCTCTCGATCCTGTCACGGCTAGTTTGTGTCCTCCCGTTACCCTTAGGAGAACTATGGGGAAAAACACTGACCCCATAGTTCTCCTTTAACTAAAATTGAAATTAGCCTCAAGTCTCATGTGAAGTACAAATCTGCCAGGGTTGCAGAACATATTTTCATTAGGTTTCACGTCACTATTTTTGCATTTGGTTGATATCCACTTTTACTGTTGATGTTCATGTGGAGTCAAGACAACAAAAATTGGTGAAATGCAAAACCAAATTCCCTCCACTAAAAAATAAATTACATGCGATGGTATAAATCCCTGGAAATAATTTTGGAAAAATTAAACAGAAAATATTTATGAATAATCCAAATCTTTCTGAAGGTCATGTTCTCGCCTGCCAATCAATGACTTGGATCCAATGTTCTGACACTTTATTGGCTGCATCATGCTTGTTCCAGGTCAGTGACTGAATAGGAAGCGAAGCAAGGATGACAGCGGGGCTCGGGGCTTGCTCCTTCATAAACAAGTGAGCAACATCATGTTCCAATATTCCTGTCCTGACTTCCCACATTGAAGCATTGATTTCTCCCTTTGTAACACAGACACCAGCTCCTAGTGCAGTTCCTAGTTGTGGCCACCAGTGGTCCTTGCTGAAGAGTCTCATGACAACCACAACGTGGGAACGTTTTATTCAGTTCCGTATTCTGGACTCACAATGTTGTTGTTTTCTCACAGTCATATGATCGTCACCATTCTCTGTCTTATGGAAATGTACCCGATAGGTCTCACCTGACTGACTGTCCCAATCATGGAGCGTAACCAGAGTGGATTCAAGTGACGCACATCGTGACCGTCAATGTGGATGGAACCTGGAAAAGCAGCCAATATATAAAAGTTGTATGAGGATAGAGAAACACAAGGACAGGGCCGGATTTACTCTCTCTGCCACCCCAAGGCCAGGTTCCTCAATGCGCCCCCTACCCGCCAACCCCCCCATGGAGAATGGCAGACCTGCAGGCTGCATACAAGTGATCTCATCTACATCGCCGAGATCACTTGTACAGAACAAGCGGCGGCTTCCCCGCTGTACATTTAGCCCTGCTTGCCCAAAGCCGGGCTAAATGTAGAAAACAACCGCCTGGTGCCCGGAACTGCATGTCCTGGGCATCAGGAGATAGGAATTCCACATCCCTGCTGCCCCTCTACTCCCTGCTGCCCCAAGGTTGGGCCTTGTTGGAAATCCGGCCTTGCACAGGGGACCAGGAATGTGAAAACCTCATCTAAAACAGGGCTGAAGCACTCAACTTGCCCAGAGAAAACACAGCTCCCGGCTTATTTCAGTGCTGGTCACATTGTGAGAAGGACTAAGGGCAGGCAAACTCCCACTCCCCCAGCTAAAGGAAGATGTAGTTTGGGGAGATGTGGCTGAGTATTTGAGTCTTGCTCAGCTTCAATTTACAGTTTGAAAATCATTAAACTTTAGATGTTTAAACCTAAAGTTTTTAAAGTTTAAAAAAAAAAAAAACAACATACCTTCTACAATGTATGTATAACATACCGCCGTGTACACATCACAAACAACTTACAGAACAATATTACAATGATATGTTCTGTAGTTTCAATGCCCTATAGTGGGGAGATGGACAGCATTAGGAACCTCACTGTTTAACGCCTGGCTATGAAGTCCCAGTAATGATTTGGACTTCAAAGACTTGCACTAGGGAAAGCTGAGAGACGACATTTGTTATCCCCCAACAGAGAACGGGCAATGTGTATTGAGGTTTTTGAGCCTTCAGGACATGAAAGTCCTCCTTATCGGAGTTGGGTTGGGTGGGTCTAGCCTAATCTGATCGGCGTTGGGTGGGTCTAGTCTAATCTGATCGGCGTTGGGTGGGTCTAGTCTAATCTGATCTGCGTTGGGTGGGTCTAGTCTAATCTGATCCGTGTTGGGTGGGTCTAACCTAATCTGATCTGTGTTGGGTGGGTCTAACCTAATCTGATCTGTGTTGGGTGGGTCTAGTCTAATCTGATATGATCTGCATTGGGTGGGTCTAACCGAATCTAATCTGTGTTGGATGGGTCTAGTCTAATCTGATCTGTGTTGGGTGGGTCTAGTCTAATCTGATCTGTGTTGGATGGGTCTAGTCTAATCTGATCTGTGTTGGATGGGTCTAGTCTAATCTGATCTGTGTTGGATGGGTCTAGTTTAACCTGACCTGTGTTGGGTGTGTCTAGCCTAATCCAATCTGTGTTGGGTGGGTCTAGCCTAATCCGATATGTGTTTTTTGGTGGGTCTAGTCTAATCTGATCTGTGTTGGATGGGTTTAGCCCAATCTGAAAATAAAATATGACCCATTATTCATCACTTACCAGAGTTGGGATCATACAGTCTCAGCAGCAATGAAACCAAAGTAGATTTGCCAGAACCGCTTGGACCCACCACGGCCATCACAGATCCAGAGGGAATGGAGAGGTCGAGACTCTGGAAGATAGGAACCTCGGGGCGGCTGGGGTACATGAAGGTGACATTGTGAAACTCCAGGGCACCTCTGAACTTCTCCGGTGTAATAATCTCTCCCTCTAGAAGGACAGGAGGACATTGAGCTTTTCACACATGCACTGGAGGAGCTTACACTCTAACGTCCTCACCACAGTGACGGATACAAACAACCAGGTGATGTCACATCATGAGAATTGTTCTTTAATCATTTTGAAAGAGGAAATGCTCCATGCATGGTACCAGAAAAAGAGAAAAACAATAAAGACTCTCACCATTAAAAGCCATCTCCGGCTTCCGGTCCAGCAGCTGCCAGATACGAGTGCCGGCACCAAACCCCTTCATGAGCTCCGAGTAGAACGAGCTGAGCCCTGTGGATTGGAGTAGAGATCGGTTAATGAGCCTCATTTCCTGAATTAGAGATTACCAGATGTTCTTTATATGATTGACAAATGGCCACCGGCGAGATAACGGGGCGAAATGAAGGCTGCACCGTAACGGGAAACGTCCGGTCATAAAGGGATTTAGATTACACTCAACATCTACGGATTTCAATGGTCAGTGGCCTTTTATACGGACTTTCCAGATCCTTCCATAGTTTATGATTGTTGCATTTCATTTCTTGAAATTATGTGATCACATTTATCATTGTATCAGGCAAAACAGCAACAAAAATGATAAGAGTTTTAACCTTACCAGTCTCCACCCAAAACTAAAGAAGCACCTTCAACTCTTTCATTCAAGTATTAGAGCCTTTTGTGGAGGTTTGGATTTGACGTACCGCCGATGCTGATCCCCACCCAGAAGGCGTACATCAGGAAAGAGGAGAGTTCACCGACTGTCATCTGTGCGGCTCCAGCTAGAAGACCTCCTTTGTACAGCACGGCCAGGACAATGAGATTCCCCGATAATCCGGTCTGGAAAAACACAAGGACAATCACTGGTCGGAATCCAATACTCTGAATATTAGGAAAATGGTAAAAGAAATTACGTAAAAGGACAGATGATGGAATGAATTACTCTTTATCTACAGGGAGGAACATGACTCAAATCTAAATCATCAACATTTCATTTTCTAGGGACTTCCCATTCCAAAACCATAACCATTAATATGGAGTTGTTACCCCCCTCCTTCCCCCAACCATGGCCATTAATATGGAGTTGCTACCTTGTCCCATTTGTGAGGTCAGGTACTGATGTTGGATGAGAAGACCTGGCTCACAACCGTAGGGAATTCATCCCAAAGGTGTTCAGTAGGGTGGAGGTCAGTGCTCTGTTCAGGACACTCGAGTTCCTCCACACCAAACTGGTGACACCATGTCTTTATGGAGCTGGCTATGTACACAGGGGACAGTCATGGGTGGAACAGAAAAGGGTCTTCACCAAACTGTCACCACAAGCCTGGAATGTCTTTGTATGATGTAGTAAATAACAGGACCCTTCACTGGAAACACCAGAACTCAATCAAATGAAGAGGGGTCCACATACTCTTGGCCTTATAGGTTGGAGTGATGATCAGGTCTCCAAAAACATTTGGCCATATAGGAGCTAGGTGTTGAAAAACAGTTACCAAAAGGTTGGAAGGACCCAATTGTGTAAAATGTCTTTGCAGGTGAATGCCTCTGTGTCAGTGGAGATTGCATGGATGTATTGCCATGGTTCCGGAATGAAATGTCCAGCAAGCTCCTATAGGTAGGAGGGTCAGGCGTCACGTAGTGTAAAGAGTCATCTCAAGTAAGGCCGAGCCGGTGCCCCCCGTATGTATAATCATTTACGGTCTTAAATTTTACCAGACAGACCGATGACGTATAAGGAAAATTCCACTCACTATGCCAAAGAAGCCGGCCCGAGCGATGGCCTCCTTATAAGCCAAGTCCAGGACATAATCCACTCTACGGTCATACTTCTTCATCTCAAGCATCTCCTTCCCGAAGGCCCGGACCGTCCTCACATTGCTGATACGCTCCTCCGCCAGCTGCCGACATGACACAGAAGAAGCTTCACAAATGAATCCTACAAGACCATTATACTCACTTCTGGGACTTGAGGGGACACATACAGCAGGATAGATGTGACTGAGGTTCTAACCCTTCCATCCTGATGTATAAGATTAAACACACCGACCATGTACACAGCAAGGGAATTAATCTACAGTGAGTGATAACATGAATGGTTCCTTTATATAGTTATACACATCGGTTCAGGAGGGGATTGTGTGTGTGTGTG